AATATAGACAAACAAAAGGTGTTTTATCTACCCCCTCAGCCCCAACTGGAGGAGCTGATAGCATCACCCCAGCAACAAAGTGGGTATAACACTGGGGGATTGACACTAAACAAATTTTGCACTACTTTGCTTATGACATACTGAAGTTATTTCACAACCCTTCTTGATTGGGAGGAAATCTGAGGAAAAGCTGTGCATTGTATGAGGGTGCCAGAGCAACTTAATCTTCTCTGCAGTAAATATGGATGTAATAACAAAAAAGTTTGGTCATCTTGCCTGCATTGATGATGATCGTAACATCCGAATGGTAGCTGCTTGCCGTTTGCGGCGTCGCTTGAGAGCGGAGGCCGGTGATGGGGACCGGCTGTGGTGGGGTGCTGCCTGTGCCTGTCGTCTAGAGACGGCCCTGTGCCGCCTGAGAGCGGAGGCCGGTGATGGGGACCGGCTGTGGTGGGGTGCTGCCTGCGCCTGTCGTCTAGAGACGGCCCTGTGCCGCCTGAGAGCGGAGGCCGGTGATGGGGACTGGCTGTGGCGCGGGTGCTGCCTGCGTCTGTCGTCTAGAGACGGCCCTGTGCCGCCTGAGAGCGGAGGCCGGTGATGGGGACTGGCTGTGGCGCGGGTGCTGCCTGCGCCTGTCGTCTAGAGACGGCCCTGTGCCGCCTGAGAGCGGAGGCCGGTGATGGGGACTGGCTGTGGCGCGGGTGCTGCCTGCGCCTGTCGTCTAGAGACGGCCCTGTGCCGCCTGAGAGCGGAGGCCGGTGATGGGGACCGGCTGTGGTGGGGTGCTGCCTGCGCCTGTCGTCTAGAGACGGCCCTGTGCCGCCTGAGAGCGGAGGCCGGTGATGGGGACCGGCTGTGGTGGGGTGCTGCCTGCGCCTGTCGTCTAGAGACGGCCCTGTGCCGCCTGAGAGCGGAGGCCGGTGATGGGGACCGGCTGTGGTGGGGTGCTGCCTGCGCCTGTCGTCTAGAGACGGCCCTGTGCCGCCTGAGAGCGGAGGCCGGTGATGGGGACCGGCTGTGGCGCGGGTGCTGCCTGCGCCCCTAGTTTGGAGACGGACCTGTGCTACGCTGGGCATACGGGAAACTTCCCTTCGGATTAATGCGCATTCGATTATTTTCCCACGCGTTTCGTTCGCCGGCCGACAAGTTGCTCATGAGCCCAAAAGTTAACTCCTCACACCAGTTTCGGATTGCTGTGCACTGTCAGCCGGTAGCGCTGGCACCAACTGAATGATAGGTAACAGGGTAGGGAAAGTTCGGCCACTCCGTTAGATGGCGGACGATGACCTGTCCACCACGCTGCTCACTCGCAATCACAGGCAACACACACTACATGTGGGAGAGGTTTCCTGGAACAGTTCAAACCCAAGTGCAGTGACGAAGGGAATGAATACCGAATGACTTCCCTCTTGCTAACACAACAGGGGAATCGTACGCTACCGAGGCGGCTGAAGAGCGCGATCACATCAAGTCTGACAGTGTACAGAGATTGGCGGGCATTGACAGTACCGTGCCCATTTTCTCAGGCTGTTGCCTGGCATTTGACCGGGACGCTCCTTTTCCTAACGTCGTTATACTCATTGACGTTGTACTGCGTAAGAATCAAATCAACTCTCGGAATGTTTCCCCAGGCATTATATCGGACCATGTGTTTGACATGCACGCCACGACAGCAACTACAGTCTCTTATCCTGCAGTCTGTACAGCAGCCTGCTGAAACCATTCCGAAAGTATTCCTTGGTGATACTGTGTGCCATTTTAATGTGTTGCCGTTTGTATCTGATATTGAAGCACTGGCTGAGTCACCTGTCGCTCATAAAAAGCTATTGAGAGCTGCAAATTTGCGGGTTGTGCTTCATGCCACGTACATGTCACCCGGCGGCAGCCCAACGCCTGACATCTGCTGTCGTCGCCGTTCCAGCTAGGTGGGCGGCCATGTTCTACCTGGTGGGTCTGGGCCTGGGAGACGCCCGCGACATCTCCGTGAAGGGCCTGGAGATAGTGCGCCGCTGCGACGCCGTCTACCTGGAGGCGTACACCTCGATCCTGACGTGCGGCGTGGAGGCGCTGGAGGAGCTGTACGGCCGGCCGGTGACGCTGGCCGACCGCGAGACAGTCGAGCAGGGCCTGGACTCGGTCATCGCCGGCGCTACCGAGCGCGACGTCGCCCTGCTGGTGGTCGGCGACCCATTCGCCGCCACCACGCACCACGACCTGGTGCTGCGCGCCGCCGAGCGCGGCGTGCCTTGCCAGGTGGTGCACAACGCCAGCATCATGAGCGCCGTCGGGTGCTGCGGCCTGCAGCTGTACAGCTTCGGCGAGACGGTCTCCATCCCGTTCTGGACCGAAACGTGGCGGCCCGACAGCTTTGTCGAGCGGATCGACGCCAACCTGGCGCGCGGCCTGCACACGCTCTGCCTGCTCGACATCAAGGTGAAGGAGCAGAGCGTGGAGAACCTGGTGCGCGGCCGGCGCGTGTTCGAGCCGCCGCGCTACATGAGCGTGTCGGCGGCGGCCGGCCAGCTGCTGGAGGCGGTAGCCGACCGGCCCGAGGACTGGGCGGGCCTGACGCCGAGCACGCGCGCCGTCGGCCTGGCGCGCGTCGGCACCGACCGGCAGCGGATCGAGGTGGGCCCTCTCCGCGACCTGGCCGTCTGTGACGCCGGCCCGCCGCTTCATTCGCTTGTGATCGTGGGAAAGACCCATCCCATGGAGGAGGACTTTCTGAAACAGTTCGAACCCAAGTCCAGTGATTAGGGGAATGCAGTGTATGTCTTGGTTTATTATATCTGAGGTTGAATTCCCGGTGTTGCGAAGTCTTGTTCGGTTTCGTGTCCTGCAGGCTCACACTTCCGAGCCGGTGCGATGGCGGGTGCCGCTTATTGATGAAGTGCAATGTGTTCAATAATATCTGCGTGTCGGCTCGAGGTTGCAAGTCATAAGCTGCGGTACTAACGTCGACAGGGGACCGATTTTTTTACTCGGATTTGTCGACAATCAATGTTTGAACTGAGGCAATCGTGAGTTGAAATAAACAGCCAAGCCCGCGTCGTATGCGCTTTACGAGAGAACAGTTCCCAATATTAAACATTGCGAGGCTGCCATTGAGCATAAAAGACGTACATCAAGTTCTAGTCCTACGCGCAGACGAAATTTCCGTGAGCCTGGGACGGAGCGCATCAGACGGCCGCGTCATCGTCGTCGTCCTTAATTCTGCGCGGCCGCGGCTTGGGCAGCATGTTAAACTGGGCGATTGCGCGGTCCCGGCGCGTGACGGCGCTGAAGTCGAGCGAGCGAAGCCCAGGCAGCAGTAGCAGCACGCGCGTCCGGTAGCGCGGCGTGCCCTCCTCCAGCGGGTTGCCGTGCAGCGTCAGCGCTCGCAGGTACGGCAGCATCGTCAGCTTGGCCACCTCCTGCAAGCTGGCCAGCTGGTTGGCGTGAAAGTAGAGCACGCGCAGGCTGGTCAGGCACGTCAGGTTGGCGTCGATGGCCGCGATGGCGTTGAAGGAGAGATCGAGCCAGGTGAGCATGCCGCGGTCGAAGAGCAGGGAGTCGAGCGTGGCCGACAGGCTCGGCAGCTCCGTGATGTGGTTGTTGTTGAATCGCACCGTGCTGGCGATGAACCGCTTAGACTCGGGGTCGACGCGCGGGCAGTGACTGTCGGTGCGCGGGTCCTCGCCCTCCACCTCTGCGGCACACGGCCGTCGGGTCACCGGCAGCGCCGGCTGGGCTGGACCCGGCCGGGCGGGACTCGGTGAAGTCAGTCACAATTATCACAAATACCATATCCCTGGCGGGCACTACGGTTGCTGTGGGGAACGCGTCAGACCGCACATGCCTATGCATCATTTCTTCGTTCAAAGGTATCTTGCAAACCCAGTCCTCCAGCCGGGTGAGGATAAAACAGCCATGGTGCTCTCGCTCTTACAATGGGATGTTACAAGAAAACTGACACATTGCTATATCTGGAGGGTTGGAAACACCATGCGAGGTTGATGAAACGTGTTACTCACCATTAAACGCTGCCAGTCTAAGAAACGAGTAGTCCACTGGCTCGAGCCACTCGAACGGGTTCACCGACATGCGCCGGTTCTCCAGCCATAGCCTAGCGTCGGTCATGGGGGTGGCCTCAGTGTTGGGAACAGCTTCACGCTTGCCAGATCCACACAAACTGTTATCACTCACGTCCCCGCTCCCGCGAAAGCAAGCAGCGCGAGCACCACTGCACAGCACGCTGCCACGAATCGTTTCTTTGCAAAATCGGTCGTTTCTTCGCGGCAAAGAACGCGACGTTGAAGGACGGGCTCCTCCACCTGGCCAGCGGATGACGCCAACTGTAAGTCTGTCTGCCTGAGCCGATCCAGGGGCACGCGACAGACCGTCGGCACGACAGTCATCAATCAGTCACGCGACACGGGGGGAGGGGAGGGGGGTCCAGTGGGCGGTCGTCGGGAGTCGTTACCAGTGGACAGGCAGCCAGATGGCGTGCAGGGTATCGAACAAGCACACCGGTGCGAGTGTCAAAGGAAATAAAACGACCTTCGCGGCCCAAACGCCCATTAATCGCGGCAATCATTCTGATGACGTCATTATGTAACACAACCCGATAACTCACATGGCACGAGCCTTGATTCACAAAACCCTCATTAAAATGCGACCAAACTGGTTATTCCAGAAAGCCTGCGGGAGTCGGGATTGTTAATGCCAGGCAGTGCGCCGCAGAAATCTGTGAGGGTGTTCGCCATCTTCGTACTAATGGATATCAGTCAGGGAGCATTTTGGCCTTCGTGATGTTCCTTGATTGCACCTGAGTCAGGAGCGTCGCTGATCGGGTTATTGGCTGGCAGCTTCCCATTTGATAGATGAACGCTGCACGGTTGTGGTCCGACTGTCTGTATGCCGAGACAAAGACGAGAGCGTGCTCATGTGCCGCTTGACCATTGCAAAAGGTGTGACGAAGTTCCCAACTGTGACGCCTTCAGACACGAAAAAGGATGGAGAAATATGCATTTATTTTTTTACAGCTACTAGGAATACGTAGTGAAACGCGCGTCACTGCACACGACCGATGGAGATGAAAGTACCGATACTTGTGGCGATCAAAACGTATCTAAATACCATCTTAAACATGTGAAGCGAAGTCTCCTGCGACAATACTTCACAACAAACGCCATCATCCCACGCCAAACATCTGACTGTTCTAACGCTGAATGCAGTGCAAGGCAGTACATCTTCCACCTGCACGCTCTACAGCTACACAAAGTCACATCTGGGCCAGTGACGCCACGTTCCCCGCCGGCCTATGTGCTGCACCTCTATTGCCGACTTCATGGTGGGATTCACAGCCGTGGCCTGTTTTGTGCTTGGATATCCATTGGATCGTACATGACCCGGAACTGCAGACTGATTCTTTCCTCCTTAGCGAGAGGATCCTTAGGAACCTGAAAGCGTCACAAAAAGCTGGTCACTTTTAGCAAACAATCTAAACACAATTTACAACAGAGTGCTCCGAATCACATTTATTGACAGCCCGCAAAGGAGGACTCCTGTGCTGCATGGCAAACAGCTGAGAAGCCCCGTGCAGGCGCCCTGGGGCACCGGGCCCGTCCGGAGACGGGCCAGAGGGGCCGGCGCTGTCTCACCCACCTGATGAACCCAGTCTTCCTGAGTATTGCCTTCCATCAGCAGTACGCTACCAGGGAACAGCGGAAACCGCAGGAACCTGGTGCCACCGCCACTCTTCTGGCGCAGCTCAAAATTCCGGACAGCACCTGGCGTGCACACAGAACCGGACATCACTTCGAGTCCGGGGCTTACGCGCATCGTCGGGCTGAAAGAAAGGGGTACAACATCCATCCCGGGCCGTAATTCCCAGGGTTCATCGGTAGACAAATGTTATCAGGCACTTTGGAGTCCCCGATAGCCTAGATAAATGAAGATGGAGTAAGATGGAGTAAGATGGAGTATGATGGAGTAAGATGGAGTAAGATGGAGTAAAGATGGAGTAAGATGGAGCAGAGATAAATGGAGTAACGTCACGGCGATGTTCACCCTCGTTATTGCTAGTCGAAGACGGACGGAGTTTCCGTAGAAGATTTGTGGCATTAAATGTGTCGTACACGTTGTAACGACAGGCTTCCGAACACAACAGCGCTCTGACATTCTGTTTCCCCTGTGAAAACAACAACAAAGCTGTGGCATCTTCTGCGGGCAAGTCCACCGGTCTTCAACCACTTCTCACGAAGGTGAACATCGCCGTGACATTATGAGCCTCGCGCCATTCCAAAGTCTCTGATAGTATTTGTCTACCGATGAGCCGTACGGATAACGGTCCGGGACGGATATTATTCCGAAAGACTGCATCGACGATAGAGTCCAAAGCCTGAGCACAGGCCGTGACTGGCTGACCAACGATTATTCCATGCATGGGCTTTACCGGTTTTTTCGCATGGTAGGACGGGAATAAATGGGAAGCAAACGAAGAAAAAACATCGCGCCCGGAAAACTTTGTAACTAACGGCGTACCCTTCAATGCAACCATTGCTGCAGCAGTATCGTGGCATTCGACGCACAGGCACGCAAGTATTATACATTCCATAAAATAAGAGATAGAATTACCAAATTACACCAGATTCGGTGATTTTCCGATGCTGACACTAGTTATATGGACAACATGGCTTTCGAAACCAGCAAAAAGTGCCGAGAGCAACTCTGGGTATTACACCCACAGCCCCCGGGAGCGCTGGACTCACGCTGTTGGCGGGGATACAGCGATCGAGCTCAAATTAGAACAAAAGATATGAGACTTCTAACGAATGCGTGATACTGCAGACGGTCGTGGATTTCGTCCCGTCATCAAAAAGCTCATCCTGCCCAACAGCTGACAGCACGGTCTGACAAACGTGTCCCAGTCGCTGCCTGCTCCGGTTTCCGCCCGCAGCAGTTCTGCCCGCCGCTCTGCCGTGTCCGTGCGATGTTGACGGATATCGCTGTCGAGCCCGCGCCGCAGAACCCACCGAGAGAGACGATGGCGATGGCCGGCTGTCGGCCCAGCGTCGGCTGGTCGTGAGTGTGCCACGGCTCGTGGTCGTGCCCGCTCCGGAATAGGCTCAGGTGGCAGCTGTTGAACTCCTGACCCGTGAGCTGCATCAGCCTGGGGGAAAGATGTAACACTCACATGGCAGCTGTTGAACTCCTCGCCCGAGAACACTCATCCAACACACGCGCGCCACACATACGTCAGCTGGTGGACCCTGATGCCCCAGCTGGATGAGTCTGCGAGATGGAACATTCGCGTGGAGGTTGCTGGATTCCTGACCCATGAACTGAAGCAGCATAGGAAGGGACAGCACAGGATGAACTCAGCTACGTTTGGATGAAGCACAATGTGATATGGCGGCTCCGAGCGGAGAGCTTCGACCGACGACGCTCTCATAAATCGATGTCAATAAGACCAACGTGTCATGACACCCCACGGACAACCGCTCTACCAAACCACGCCATCATAACGACTCGCTCGCACTGAATAGTTCGCCGCCAGCCTGACTAGTCTGACCGGTCTGACCCCGGCTCTCAGGCGGGGACCCGGGGCTTTCACAAGACGCAGGCGGCGCTGCCACGACAGCAGCCCACTGACCTCTGCAGCAGGTCGAGCAGCTCTGGCGCCCAGCTATCATTGGCGGGCATCATGAGGCCGGACTCCTCCAGACTGCACGGACCGAACCAGGCCACCAGCCGCTTCAGCGCCACGAACCGGCCGTCGGGCGCCACCTGGCGCGTCTGGTGCCACTTGACGTAGCGGCGCAGCGTATGGAACATGCGCTGCGGGACCGGCGGCGTGCGGCTCGGGTTAGACGAGGCACCGGTGGCGCACGGCTCGGGTTAGACGAGGCACCGGTGGCGCACGGCTCGGGTTAGACGAGGCACCGGTGGCGCACGGCTCGGGTTAGACGAGGCACCGGTGGCGCGCGGCCCGGGTTAGACGAGGCACCGGTCGCGCACGGCTCGGGTTAGACGAGGCACCGGTGGCGCACGGCTCGGGTTAGACGAGGCACCGGTCGCGCACGGCTCGGGTTAGACGCGAGTTAGACGAGGCACCGGTCGCGCACGGCTCGGGTTAGACGAGGCACCGGTGGCGCACGGCTCGGGTTAGACGAGGCACCGGTCGCGCACGGCTCGGGTTAGACGAGGCATCGGTGGCGCACGGTTCGGGTTAAACGAGGCACCGGTGGCGGCTCGGCTTGCGCCAGTCAGGGGGATGGAGGCGGCAATCCCAGGCCATTCATAGCAATGGGAGCGGGATCTCGGGTTAGACAAGGGGCCGGAGGCGGACACATCAGGTGAGACAAGTGAACAAGGGCGATCATCTCAAGCCAATCATGGCAGCGGCCATCTCACGTTAGTCGAGGGAGCGGCGGATCAGGCCATCGGGCACGTTAGTCGGGGGACCGGCGGATCAGGCACACCGGGCACGTTAGTCGAGGGACCAGCGGATCAGACACACCGGGTACGTTAGTCGAGGGACCGGCGGATAAGGCCATCGGACACGTTAGTCGAGGGACCGGCGGATCAGGCACACCGGGCACGTTAGTCGAGGGACCAGCGGATCAGGCACACAGGGCACGTTAGTCGAGGGACCGGCGGATCAGGCACACCGAGCACGTTAGTCGAGGGACCAGCGGATCAGGCACACCGGGCATGTTAGTCGAAGGACCGGTAGCTGACCCCTCAGACGACGGACCAGGATCAACAGCTCAGATCGGCTATTGGCTGGCGGGGGGGGGGGGGAGGTTGGCAGTGAGCCCTTCCAAAACTGTGTATCTTTTTAAAACTTATGCAGGCCGCTGTCACGTGCAACTAGACATCGCACCTCTGAGCAGTTCTCAGCAACAAGTAGCACAGTTACTTTAAGACGCATGATGCAACGTTTTCAAAGAACTTGTATGCAACCTATCAAATCAAGGGTGTTTTTCCTGCAGCCTTGTAAGGAGTCAAACTTTACGCCTCCCCATTTGGTTAAGACCGGGAACGTGGGTTTTGAGAGCTGACAAAGACCAACACGACGCGGGGTGAATCTGGGCCAAGGCCTGAGTAACCTGGGCCGCGACAATGTGGAGCCATCCCGATTTGCCTGCGAAAAGAACGGACAATCGTGCCCCACGACCGTGTACCGCTCAGTGCAGCATGTCACGAGCGTTTGGGAGCCGGCCATGCAGCTGCCAGTTTACAGTTCTTCGAGAATTGACGTTGGATCATGCCAACCAGGGCATATAGACAAAGAACAGAGTGCATTGTGTACGGGACTGTAACACCTCGAATCAGCTAGCTAACTCTACCCTAGACCAGGAACACGAGTAATCGATAAGGAAGCGACGAATGAAACGTTCTAAAAACCAGTTCTGAGTGGCAGTCACTTGGCTTACGCAGGGAGCAATTGGACCACCAAAATCATACAGGGATGTTGTCGGATCAGCCGTGACCATGCCCTCACAAAAATTTGTTTTCTCGATACCGCTCTCACAGTAGATGCACAAGTAAAAAGATAAAAATTAACTCACTCCGTCAGCTAACATGGGCAGGGCTTCCAACAGCCCTTTCCGGCAACGTTATTTGAAATAGGTACGTGAATAAATGCGCCAATAGATGTGAACGAATACGTGTGAGGATTCCTGAATTTCTGCGACGTTTGACGTCCAAAAATCAAAATTTTGCAAAGGTTGTCGAAGTAACTTTGTCTCTCCTGTAAGATAGCCGTGACCAGTGAGTCCGTTATGAGGTCCCCACCACAGCCCGCCCACTTACGCGCCCTTAAACGAACGGCCATGGCCATTGGCGCCCGACCCGTCACGCAATCGGTTGTGCTAGGGACAACATAACACGCTGGGCGCAGGATGTTCTCATTCTCAAGTCCGAAACACCGCCCTCGCACCTCTCCCCCTCCCCCTGTCCTCCCCACACACCCACGCGTGCCGGAAGGCGCGGACGCGGGCGCGGGCGCAGCGCTCACCTGGACACCGCAGTCGTTCATGAAGCGGGGCCAGTACCGAATCAGCGACACACCGCCGTCCGTCTCGGAGAGGCACAGCTCGCCGCCCTCGCGCACCAGCCACTCAGGCACGTTCACACACGAGGCGCCCGTCTCCTGCGCTGGCGGTGGCGGCGGTGGTGGCGGCCGCAAGCGCGCCAACTGGACGCGCCGGGCGACGGTCAGCACGCGGCCACGCGAACACCTCACGCCAGGTGACACGTTCAAGGCGCGTCGAGCGATTGCGCTGGGTATGGCGTTTGTTGGTCGCATTATCACCAGCGGTTCGCAATATGGGTCAAGACTGAGATCTGAGCCCACCTCACGCTGCGCGGCCGTCTGACATCACGCACAGCTGGCACCGGCGAGCCGGAGAGCCGCCGTGGACGGCAACACGGCGTGATGGTGAGCGGTGGTCAGCAACGGGATCGGCGATCAGTGCCTGGGTCGACGGTCAGACCCAGGTCGCGTGTCAGTACCCCGGTTATCAGTGAGTGCCCGGGCGTCGGCCTGTATCCGGGTAGCCGGTGAGTACCTCAGCCATCAGTCGGTGCCAGGGTCGTCAGTCCGTACCTGGGGCGGTCGCCGGGGCTCCTGCCGGCCAGGCGCCTCGGTCGGCTGCAGCACCAGCGGCTGCATCAGCGGCCGCAGAGGCGGCGCCTGAGGCGGGATCACGTACCGCGGCACTCTGCCAACGGATCCGGGGACTGGTGACCCAACAGCCGGGCCACAGAGGACTGGTGACCAACAGCCGGGCCACAGAGGACTGGTGACCAACAGCCGGGCCACAGAGGACTGATGACCAACAGCCGGGCCACAGACGGGGACTGATGACCAACAGCCGGGCCACAGAGGACTGATGACCAACAGCCGGGTCACAGACGGGGACTGATGACCAACAGCCGGGTCACAGACGGGGACTGATGACCAACAGCCGGGTCACAGACGGGGACTGATGACCAACGGCCGGGTCACAGACGGGGACTGATGACCAACAGCCGGGTCACAGACGGGGACTGATGACCAACAGCTGGGTCACAGACGGGGACTGATGACCAACAGCTGGGTCACAGACGGGGACTGATGACCAACGGCCGGGTCACAGACGGGGACTGATGACCAACAGCCGGGTCACAGACGGGGACTGATGACCAACGGCCGGGTCACAGACGGGGACTGATGACCAACAGCCGGGTCACAGACGGGGACTGATGACCAACAGCCGGGTCACAGACGGGGACTGATGACCAACAGCCGGGTCACAGACGGGGACTGATGACCAACAGCCGGGTCACAGACGGGGACTGATGACCAACGGCCGGGTCACAGACGGGGACTGATGACCAACAGCCGGGTCACAGACGGGGACTGATGACCAACAGCCGGGTCACAGACGGGGACTGATGACCAACAGCCGGGTCACAGACGGGGACTGATGACCAACAGCCGGGTCACAGACGGGGACTGATGACCAACGGCCGGGTCACAGACGGGGACTGATGACCAACAGCCGGGTCACAGACGGGGACTGATGACCAACAGCCGGGTCACAGACGGGGACTGATGACCAACGGCCGGGTCACAGACGGGGACTGATGACCAACAGCCGGGTCACAGACGGGGACTGATGACCAACAGCCAGGTCACAGACGGGGACTGATGACCAACAGCCAGGTCACAGACGGGGACTGATGACCAACAGCCGGGTCACAGACGGGGACTGATGACCAACGGCCGGGTCACAGAGAAGGACTAATGATCAACAGGTGGGTCACAGAGGACTGGCGACCAACAGCTGAGTCACAGAGGGAGACTGGTGACGGATCCGGATGCCAACGGATCCGGGGACTGGTGACCAACAGCCGGGTCACAGAGGACTGGTGACCAACAGCCGGGTCACAGAGGGGGGACTGGTGACCAACAGCCGGGTCACAGAGGGGGACTGCTAACCAGACGACTCACGGAGCAGCCGCAGTGGCACCGTAACCTGGTACATCGACGCAGGCCAAGTCCCGAGCCAATAGCAAACACCAGAGGGAGGACGTGAGTGGCCGCCACGATAACAGACAAGGTATTCAAAACATAACAGGAGCTAAGCAAACGACCAGAAAACCACTTGAAACTGTCAGTTTGTGACTCCGGAGCACGACAGCACTGCAATACACATCGCCTTCCGCACGTTTTCAATCTCTAAATAGCCACCGCTCTGGCCCGTTGGCACGCTCTCCGTGGGCCGTGGAGACCCGCCCGACCGCTCTCCGTGGGCCGTCGGGACCCGGCCAGCCGCTCTCCCTGGGTCGCGGGATCCGCCCGACCGCTCTCCGTGGGTCGCGGGATCCGCCCGGCCGCTCTCCGTGGGTCGTTGAGGCCCAGCCGGCCGCTCTCCGTGGGTCGTGGGGACCCGTCCGACCGTTCTCCGTGGGCCGTCGGGACCCGGCCGGCCGCTCTCCGTGGGTCGTGGGGGCCCGCCCGACCGCTCTTCGTGGGCCGTCGGGACCCGGCCGGCCGCTCTCCGTGGGTCGTCGGGACCCGCCCGGCCGCTCTCCGTGGGCCGTCGGGACCCGCCCGGCCGCTCTCCGTGGGTCGTCGGGACCCGCCCGGCCGCTCTCCGTGGGTCGTCGGGATCCGGCCGGCCGCTCTCCGTGGGTCGTCGGGACCCGCCCGGCCGCTCTCCGTGGGTCGTCGGGACCCGCCCGGCCGCTCTCCGTGGGCCGTCGGGACCCGGCCGGCCGCTCTCCGTGGGTCGTCGGGACCCGCCCGGCCGCTCTCCGTGGGTCGTCGGGACCCGGCCGGCCGCTCTCCGTGGGTCGTCGGGACCCGGCCGGCCGCTCACCGTCGTCCGTCCTTGGTGACGATGTGTGGCGTCTGGCCGTCGTCGGGCCGCGGCCGCTTGGCCGGCGGCGGCGGCGGCGGCCCGCTCAGCGCCTCCTCGTCAGACGACACGGGATCGAGCAGCGTGGTCGGGTAGCCGCCGGCCTCGCGCGCGTCGTAGTCGCGGTAGCCCTGCTCCTGGAACCACTTGTACTGCGGGTCTTTGCCGTACCTGCGGCGGCACGTGACACGGTCAGGGTCGGCGACTGGGCCTGGGGTGCAATGTGACGGACACGGCGCAGAGCAACGCCGGGCGGCACGCACTGTCACGGCCATTTCAGCGGAACAGGCGGTCCACTGGCAGCACCCTCACCACACCGGCTCGCCGTTCACAGCCGACAGATAGCTCCATCGATCATGGCAACAAGTACAGGAACGCTGGCGCCGCCAGACGTGCCGATCCGGGCGCACGACTGACCCGCAGGCGTCCGTCTTCATGGTGAGGTCCCAGGTGGGGGGCACCTGGCCGTAGGAGGACGGCTGAAGCGCTGCCGGCGCCGGCGGCCGCTGGCCAGCCGGCGTCTGCGGCTCGGAGCCGTCCCAGCCGCACTTCGGACAGCACTGGGCGGCGCCGGACGCGGCCGCTGCAGGAGCATGTGGACGCCTCAAGACCACTGACCAACGGAGCACTGCCCCCCCCCCCCCTGCGCAGCGATGACAGGCGTTTTTAAGTTGTGCTCCAATTTTCATCACTTTTTGAAGAGGTCTGCACGGCGTCGAGCAACACTTGAAGGTTTTTTTTTACTGCAGGAACTCCAAAACGCTGCTAGATACCTTGCACTGCATCAAACACGGCAGCCTGGCGTAAGCTACCTATCTTGTCTCTTGGTCACGCCGGAAAACGCTGATTACATTCAGAACAAAACAGACGGGAGTCAGACACCCCCGCAAGCCAACCGTGTGTTACCGTCGACCACCCCTCACCACCAGCCAGATTCCACCAAAAGGCCTATCGAGCACGTGCAAAGAAGGCGGCTACACGGCTGAGACGGCGCACCGCCAGTGGCTGGCGCCGCCGGACCAGCACACACCCACCGGGCGGCGTGACGGCACCATTCGGCAGCGGTGGCGGCGGCGTCGGCTCCATCTCGACCTTCCGCCGCCGCTTGGCGACGGGCCGGCCGGCCGCGCCCCCAGCGTCCTCCTGCTCCGGCTCCTGCTCCTGCGCGTCCTGTCCCTGCTGGCGCGCCTGCTTGCGCTCGGTGGCGGCCAGCACGCGCTCGGCCGTCTCCAGTTCGTCCTCGGCCTCGCGCAGCTGGCGCAACGAGCCGAACTCCTCGAAGAACTCCACCTTCTTGCGCCGGAAACCGAGCTTGTCACGCGCCGACACGTCCTTGCTGTTGAGTGCCAGCGTCAGCGCCGCCGTCACGCCCCTGGCGGAGAAAATACCAACCAGGCACTGCCACAGCCCACCTTTGACTACCACACAAGAGGTGGTGGACTTCACGACGGTTCGCCACACAACCACGACGAAAATGTACACGCAAACGCAGACTTCAGGGAACTCAGCAACCCAACAGGTTCAGTTTTCTAGCCAGAAAAGGTCCTAGTTCGGCGTAACACAAGCGGAGGCAGCGGCGCGCCGGCGCCTCTGACGCCCCCTGCCCGGCCGAGAGCGACAGAGACTCACCTCACGTCCACCGGGTGGCGCTGGTAGCACACGTCCAGGATGTGCAGGTACAGACGCGGGTTGGAGCGGTCCCGCTTGACGGCCGTCCGCAGAATTCCCAGAGCCTTGTCCGGCTTGTTCAGAATCTGCCAACAACACCACTACGCTGCTCATATGGGATAGGAATTCCCAGAGCCTTGCCCGGCTTGTTCAGAATCTGCCAACAACACCACTACGCTGCTCATACGGGATAGGAATTCTCAGAGCCTTTTCCGGCTTGTTCAGAATCTGCTAACAACACCACTACGCTGCTCATACGGGATGGGAATTCTCAGAGCCTTGTCCGGCTTGTTCAGAATTTGCCGGCAACACCACTGCGCTGCTGAAACGGGCCAGGAAATAACAGAAACGACCCGTGTGTGCCATGAATCTGTGTGGGAGGTTCGGATATGTTTCAGGCTATTACAGCCAACCACAGCTGGTGAAGAACGATTCAGCGCACGCCCGTTTGCCTATAAAACTGGTACTTGAGGGTGCCCGCGTGCTGCCATTGTACACCCACGGGCGCAAGAAATCCTTCACCAAGTTTTAACACGACACACAGGCGGCAGCACATCACACGTAACCCATGCAATGCCAGCCGATCGTGTGCTGTAGTAAACCGTGAATTCCGCACCGCATGAAACAAAACTGACTGATGATGTCTGGTTTAATATGTTTCAGCGTTCCTCAGCTTCATCAAAATGATGCTCTGCAGACGCCCAAATGAATGTAAGGATAGCATGGAATGCACAGACCACGTTAGACGGCGTTTGTTGCGTACTTTCCTTTAATCAGCCGGGTAGCATAAGCCAGTTTGAACGAATAATTTGATTCGGCGTCTGGGCAAAGGAGACCTCGGAGGCATCCGGTCGTGCCGTACAGAGCTGAGACCAGGCCGCGCTGGCTGGTCCAGTCCGCGCGGCAGCCGGCTAGACTCAGTAGGTCAGCGAGTGGCCACACACGTTCTGAAACCCGAGCCCAGCACAGCTGGACTCCCGCACCACTGGCGCCCCAACACGACGCCGGTCCCTTCAAACACGTCTGTGTAAGCACACTACGTAAACGGAGAAATGCTCACAGTGGCCTTCCCCGCCCAACAGGAACACCCCACGTCACCGTTATATCACAACTGGCCCTGGATCTTTGGCTAGCGCAGGCCCCATCTCATGCCGGCGCTATATCACAACTGGCCCCGGATCTTTGGCTAGCGCAGACCCCATCTCAGGCCGGCGCTCCCAGCGTTCCGGCTGGCAGTCAGTGCCTTCAGTGGGCTTTCCGAGCGGGTGGCGCATCCCACCAACCTTGAAGCAGAAGCGGGCGTGCTTCATGGCCCACCACGTGGCGAGGTGGGCGGGCGCGGCGTCGGCGGCCGCCTGGTACAGCCGGCTGCACTCGTCCGGCCGGCCGCGGCGCCGCTCCAGCCCGATCAGCAGCAGCCGCGGCCGCACCGCTGTCGGGAAGCTGGCCACCACCTGGCCCAGCAGCTGCAGCGCCGTGCCCACGTTGCCTGCTGGCCGACAGCGGGTCAGCGGGCGGTGGGAGCGGCCGGGGCGGCAGGCGGAGCGGAGAGACGGAGACACGCAGGCAGCGGTAACGCCGCGCCCGCGGAGTGCTTGGGCCAACGGACGGCCCGGCCGGCGGAGCTTCAGCCGGTGGGCACTCGAGGGCGTACAGCAAGCCGGGTTCGTCCGGAATGAGGAGATGCGATCAGTTAAACATGGTTTAAGCCTTTGGTTGCCGTTCCCAGTCGAGAGTAACTTGTTTTGAGCATGCGGCTCTAGAAACAGACGCAAACGTGATGACCTTTGAGCTCTAACAAGGCGTGATGTATCCAACGTGTTGTTTAACGAGAAAAGTGAACATGGTTAGCACACTTATTAAAATTTCAAGCAATATCCTTCCTTTGAAACCGCGGTTCCTAAAGCGGCACAGAAGTTGTGAGGCGGCCGCATTTCATCCGTTCAGCAATGTTTTAGCTCCCAAATCATGTTTCCGGCACCGCACCGCGTCGCCCTCCGGCCGGGCCGGTCCAAGCACTCAGCCACCGAGTGGGCAGGCGCAGAGTTACGGCGGCGGCCGGCGGCATATACACACCACTCGCGTCACCAGCGGTACACACACGTCACACACACTACGCTCCGGCGAGCCGGCGACGGCGGCTGAGCTCTGAAATCAGACCGCGGCGTTAGTGCTGGGCACACGCTGGCGGTGAAGTACGGCTCGGTGCGAGCGCTACAGAGAGGTCGGCCAATTCCCAGTCTATCCTGGCATGGTGAACTGAATACAACGTGTCACGAAGGCATTCGGTCAACTGGCCAAAAAACCGCAATATTCAGAGATCATTGGGGAGACGTGAGCACAGCAATGAGTTTGTTAAACGACAACTTCGGTCATTCTGTTCTGTGAGCATTTTTTAAAGTTTATCCTTGGATATGTCCATCCAGCCCAGCCTACGCGACACAAATTACGGGCACATGATGAAAGGCGTTACTATTCTGGCCATTTCGAGGTTAAACGCGATTGATTTGCTCTCAAAGCAATGGTATTCCGACGGAACACCGCAGCACGAGAGCCGACGGGCACTGGCGCAGTCCGCCGGCAGCGTCCGTGGTCAGCGCGCGCCGCGCCGGCGGCCGCTCGCTCACCGATGCTCTCCTCAAACGCCGCCCACTGCAGGCGAATATTGGGCCGCGTCGGGCAGTGCACCAGGCAGGCACGCTTGTACACCTCACGCACAGCGTCGGCTGGGTTGGCACGCGCCGCGTAGCCGGCCGCCACGTGCGACCGTTCCTCGGGAAGACGGCGCGACTCTGTTTCGTACTGGGCGCCGCCGCCGCCGGCCCGGTCGGCCTCCAGCAGGCGCCGCATGGCCGCATCATCAGCGGCCGACGGCGACGGCACCGACTGCAGCCGACGCTCCAGGTAGCGGGCATACTGCAGCCAGAACTCCTCATACTGGGCGCACGCGATCAGGCAGCGCTCGTACAACATGACCAGCGAGTCGTGGTCACCGTCGGCCGCTTCCAGCTCCAGGTAGTCGCGCCAGGCGCGCAGCTGACGCCGGTCCAGCGCGATCACGTGGAAGTAGGGCCGCTTAATCTGCCGAAGAACACAGTCCATCACGCGCAACGCACAGAACAGGGTCAGGCGCAAGCCGTGACAGGGCGGAGTGACGCCGAGACGGTCAGCGACAGACTGCCAGCGCCAGGAAAAATCGCCACGGCCAAGCAAATGGTCATCTGTTTGGATGCACGTGGATGCAAAGTGTGACATTCTTGGTGGACAGATAACTACCTTGACCATGGAAAACTATTGATACTGTTCAAGCGATTCGGTCACACAAACTGCCGCCATGACATCAGTCATACTGTTAATAACAGTGGGAGAGGCGAGCCTGCAAGGTGATTATCCCCCTTTTTCTTTGATAAATGCGCGCTTGACGTCGTTAGCCGCAGTGTCATTTACGCATCGCGGGACAAGGCCATCTAAATGTTCTAAATGACAGAGAAGCCCATACCATGGTGTAAACCATTCCATCACGCAGCGCTTCTATCAACCTAACTCAGCCAGCTCAGTGCAAAACCCTGCCCATACAACGATGAAACATTCTATTCCCCATTGATTTGTGCAGAAGCCTTCTACTGTGCCTTCTGCCAGCCGACAGCTATCACGTCACCCTGTCGGTAGATCTTATCGCCTTGGAGTTGAGGCCTCCTGGCCTACCTTTTCCTCCAACTTCCAGCGTTTCTCGGCCTTCTTCTCCGTTTTCTCGTGAATGGCGACCAAGGAGGCCACCAGTTTCTCCTTGATAGCACTGACAAGCTTCACCTCGGGCTGCCGGATCTAACGGTATGGAAGGAGCGTCCAGTTACGTTCGTCTGGTCAACCAACCACAACGTAATACAGAGACGCCGTGGTGCACAAGACCTTCGTCTGGCTGCGGATCAGAGCCTGAGTATCTGTTGGCTCACCATTAGCCTGTTTACCAACCACTGCAAACGCCCCGGCCATTGGCGTCACCAAACCACGGTAAATGCAGGACCAGCGAGATCTCTAGGGTGAGATAAGACGAGACTCACGCCAGGAAAATGACGTCAGTACCCCCCGCCTCCCAGCGTATTGGCCGCCCGTCGCCCGCCTACCGTGATCACCTTGGCAGGGTCGGCGAGCGGAGAGGCGGACTCCTCACGGTACGTCACGCCCAGCTCGAGACAGCACGCGCGACGCAGCGCCACGTACTCTTCACGCTCCAGGATGTCACGCGGGTGATGGTCCCGCACGTGCTGCAGGAAACTGGCGGCACAGGTGGACGGAGCGGCCTCGACAACGAGCACCGAGCACACAGGCGCAGGTGCTTCCATCTCCCATCTCTCATCTCCCTCCTCACTGCAGTCTGTACCCAGCCACGGTTTGGGGCCGACAATTCGCGGGTCTAGCCCTCTGCTTCGTCCCATGTCTAGAGGAGCACAGAATACACTCGCCTTTTGCAATTTTCACGGCAAATTTTCAAATGCCGGCCTGACACGACTGTAAGCGTGCAATTATTTTTTGCTCCCAAGGCAAAATTAGGCACCAGGTCTGTATGGAACAGGCCTCACGTTGCAACGAATGCACGCATTAATGTGTGCTTAAAAAAGAAAGAAGACAGTTTAGTTAAAAAAGGTTCTGAATTCGTAACTTAAGGGAAAATATGTCGTACATGAGCTACTTACTCGTCCCAGTGTCGGTTGTACAAGCGAGTGGGTATTTTCAGTAGGCGCCGGTAGATGGCGGTGACGTTGCTCATGGCCCCATGAGTGGATTCCCACTGGATAAAGCATTCCCAGAGGGCGTCGGACCTGAACTGGGCGCCGGCACATCGGACGGCCCGCTCACAAATGCTGCCGGCACATGTCAGACGTGTGAACGGACCGACGGACAACCAATAGCTGAGCGGCGTGGCAACATATGACGTCAGTTGCAGTCGGGTGTGAGGACCAATAGCTGGGCAGCGTGGCACCACATGACGTCGGTTGCAGTCGGGTGTGAGGACCAATAGCTGGGCAGCGTGGCACCACATGACGTCAGCTGCAGTCGGGCGTGTGGACCGACAGCTGGCCAGCGTGGCAACACAAGCGTTGCCCTTCCCCTTCTTGAAACATATTACACAATACATTGCGGTTAGTACAGTAAAGCATGCCAGACACGGCTGTTGGAATGCACCATCGTATCGCCATAGCCAGCAGCGGTCCAGGCGGTAGCCGGCGCCTCGGCCTCGGACACCACTCACGCTCGAGTCTGCTCCTCCGCTGTCTTCTGGCCCTTCACCGAGTCGCGAAACTGGTTCAGCAGGGCCATCCACAGCTCGATCGACAGCGGGATCGCCTTGACGGCTCGCTCTAGGATCTGCAGAGACCTGAAACCCGACCACGCCGCTTGAGGAGGTCCGAGGCCGAAACTGCGGTCATACAGTGCTCGCCTGCCCGCCTGCCCGCCTGTCTGCCTGTCTGCCTGTCTGCCTGTCTGCCTGTCTGCCTGTCTGCCTGTCTGCCGTCTGCCCGTCTGCCCGTCTGCCAGAGACGATCGGGTGAAGTCACACAGGTCCACACACGGGGATCGCGCGGCGCCCGGCCCGTCGCCACGGAGCTCAGGCACTGGCTCACCTCTCAGTGTAGCCGCTCCGCTGCTCCAGGTCGGCGTACTTCTTCCAGTAGGCGTAACAGTACGGATACAGCGGCAGAAATGCGTTGTAAACGCCTCGGATGGCGTCCAGGTTGGTCTGAAACACCACGATCTTTTCAGTTCTCACGGTATGAAAGAGACACTGGCGCACGTGAATTCAAGCATGAGTTGGTTTGGATCTCCTCACAACAGCCCCACCCACCCACCCCCAAAAAACAGCGTAAGCCAATTTACGTCTTCTGAAACCCAGACCAAAAACCAAAACAAATGCAGGAAATTACAACTTACACGAATCCCTTAGTTCATTCAATCTAATAATCGTGTTACATGTTGAATGTACCCTGGGTATCAACCGCCAGGAAACGATTTGCGGACGGAAAAATGCTTGGCAAAGAGCCCATCCAACAGAACAGGACGAGTGAAGATAAAACATATATGGTGGATGCATCTATCAAGCAGTGCAGTTAGAGTGAAACCATTTCAATCACACTTTATTCGGGATCGACCATCCAGACAACTCATTACATCTTTTATTCGAAAGGTTGGTAGCAATGACACGGTTGTAACACCGGGAAACCAGCACTTCACGCCCAATGTCTCCACCCTCCCCCCCCCCTCCCCACACCCACCTGTTTCTCCAGTTTCTCCAGCCCTCTCCACACCCACCTGTTTCTCCACATGCTGCAGAAGGTAGGTCCAGCCGTTGAAGTCGTACGGGTTCTCGCGGACAAACTGCCAGTAGTGTTCGAGCATGCCGTCCGTCGGCCCGACACACTGCTCCGGCAACAAGTCTGCCGCGCACGCGATCCTCTCAGCGCGCGCCGGCCCGGCACCGCTGCCGCCGGCGGCATCCGCTGCCGTGGTGGGAAATGACAGTGGCTCCGTGCCGGTCCCGCCGGCGGCATCCGCTGCCGTGGTGGGAAGTGACAGTGGCTCCGTGTCAGTCCCGCCGGCGGCATCCGCTGCCGTGGTGGGAGGTGGCAGTGGCTCCGTGCCGGTCCCGCCGGCGGCATCCGCTGCCGTGGTGGGAGGTGGCAGTGGCTCCGTGTCAGTCCCACCGGCGGCATCCGCTGCCGTGGTGGGAGGTGGCAGTGGCTCCGTGTCAGTCCCGACGGCGGCATCCGCTGCCGTGGTGGGAGGTGGCAGTGGCTCCGTGTCAGTCCCGCCGGCGGCACACGCGGCAGGTGCCGGTGACGGTGCAGGCCCTGGGACGGCAGGGGCGGCAGAGGGCGCCGAAGTCGAGGCCGCGTCAGCGACACCGCACCGCCCCTGAGCCCGGGCTTCAGCGGGGGGTTCAGCGACCGGCGCCATTTCAGTGGTCACTGGAAAGTCACAGGCTTCATCCCCATCGCCGTGGTTCGCCACAGGGTGGCGAGTCCGTACTGGGCAGGGAACTAGCGGGGCCTGGACAGCATCCAACCGCTGACTTAACACCGGAAACGGAGGGGCAAAGCTATCCTGTGTCTCCATAGCTCTCTCGCCCACCACGTGAGACACAGTCGCCTTGGTAGGCGCCCCGCGGTCTGTGAACTCGCCACCGGGCGGGGGCTGAGCATCCGCCGAGTCCGTGGCATGACTGGGCGCCGCGGAAGATGCGGCTGGCTCATCCTGCACACACGTGGCCGCCTCCTCCCCTCCGGCCGCCCGTGGCTGAGCCGCATCATCCGCAGAGTTCGCCAGCGACTCCCTGATCGCGCGCCGTTCCGTCACGGGACTGGCACCCGCTGCGGTCGGCCCCCCGCCCTCCGCTGCAGACGTGTGGCTCGGCATGCTTCGTGCAGCGGTGCCTCCCACCGGCCGGGAATCGGCACCTGGATCCAGTCCCGTCGCGCCCTCTGTCGCCTCCGTCGCGCCCTCTGTCGCGTCCGTCGCGCTCGTATCCGTCGCTGTCGCGTCCCCGCCGGCGGCAAACTCGGGCGGCTCGTACTGGTCCGGGTCGTCAAGGTCCGGCGGAAGCAGCGCCACCGGTTCTGGCAGCGGCGTGTCTACGGTTGGGTAGTCTCGCAGCAGCTCGGACACGTCCGCCGGTCGCAGCGGGCCGCCATACTCGGCTGGCAGCTCGGCGGCGGGCCCGGCCGACCCGGTCCCAGTCCCAGTCCCAGTCCCAGTCCCAGTCCCAGTCCCGTTCCCGTTCCCGTTCCCTTTCCCGTCCCCGCCAGGCCCGGTCGGCGCCGCCGTCTGCTCAGCCGGCTCCGGCACGTGTCCAGCGCCGTCTCCGTAGCCGTATGAAGAGCCGGGTGTCACGGTGGCCAGCACCACGTCCACGTCCTTGGGCGAAACGAACGAGGCCTCTAGATGCAGAAGACCTTGCACGGATAATGGTGGTTTCTCTTTCTTCCGATTCTTCCGTTTTGGGGGCATTTTTAGACTTTCCCACAGTGGCCTGAAACAGTGGGCAGTTCTGACATAAGCATATGGTGTCATTTGTAGTGTTAAAAGTGGATGAAATATGGCTTCAGTCCTTTTCATATTCATTTCATTTCTTGATACAAGTATGGTCCATGAGATAGTGATAAGCTGTTCACCTTGTAGAAACAAACATTATGCAATAACTAGGTTTGTGTGCCTAACTTACAAAAGAATGCTGAAAGATTTTTGGATGTTTAACTGTCATAACATACAAACCATACTAATATGCAGTAGTGTTCTTTTAAGTAATGAACACTAGGCCTACAAATCCCACCATCCAGCAATGCAAAGGGTAATAGAGCTTCAGTCTCTTACAGTAAGGCCTGATTATGGTGAGATGTATTGGTGAAAATTGGAAATATGGTCCCCTGCTGGATCTGCCTGTATATGCATCCAGCACAGTGCATATATTTTTGGTAGACTTGGGTCTATGGGCTGGATCATATTTTATTTTCTTGTGCACCCTATGAAATGATGGTTGTGATGGCATCTAGCTAAAATACATACTGGCAAACATACTTTGAAACTGCATGTGCTAAAGCAGTGGCAGTGAATATGGCAGAATTATCATTCAGCCTCCATAAGATGATCTTGGGGCCTAATATTTTATAGCCTATTGTGTCCCAAGTCCAATGACGCAAATTGTACGACCTGTTACTACACACAGGCTAGCAAGCACACCCTGTCATGACCTACTAATGGTAATAATGGATTAAAAAATTAAAAATGTGAATAAGCAATTTCTGGCTATCTCATCCTAAAACTAATACAAATCATTTCCATTTCCTACATACCTTATCATACAGTAGCCATGCTAGCACATAGCATTAAGGACTACTGTCAATACCACTTTTGAATGTCTGTGATGAGGCACTAAGAGAAAATAAGCTAATTTAGTTGGTGTCAGCTTTTGGGGTTGAGTATTATTTCACATATAATGATGAATCTAGCTGCTGCCAACACATACCACATTGACACAAATAGCTGCCTAGATTGCACCAATGGGATCAATTCCCACAAAACATGCTGCAAAAAAGTAATAATGCACAGAACAGACCCCAACACTGACCATGGCAAGAATATGTTTCCCCAATCTTAATCAATTCACATCCTTGCCTACCCTGAGACCCGTTCATTGCCCATTCATTACTTCATATGCAGTAGTGTGAGCAAATAACATCTGACAGCCAAGCATGTCTGGCTTTTGTGATACTACCCCATTTCTCAATGTATTGCTCAGTTCAATGTATTGCTCAGTGAACAACACATTGAACATTTCCTTTGTCTCTTGGACCACAGTATTATGGCATGAAAATAGTCCTGTTTAGTGCTTTAATGTTATTTGGAGCTTTGCATTCAAACTTATTCGAATACTCATATGAGCCAAGGGAAAGGTAGTGAAACAGTTGCGCATGTGTGCCAGCATAAACAAGTTATAAGCTCCATGAAAAATGTCATTGCTAACACAAAAAATAAAACAAACATTTCCCCACAATCTGCCATTGCAGGTACTATTTTTGAAGGGAGCCAAAATACTAACCAACCGGCTATCAAAACCTTGAGACGCGGAAAATTGCTACGCTCTTTCCCTCCTCGAACCCTTCTCGCACTCTGCGAGGTTATTGGGCATCCGAGACCAGCCACCATGGCAATGAAACCGCCTGCACGTTTTATGTAATAGGCGCGCCATTTTTGGAAGTACTAAAAGATTCCATATTAGCTTTTAGCTTTGGCGCGCCAAAAATCGATCGCGGTGTCTGAAGTCCATGCGGTAAGCGTCCTGTCGGCGATGATTCCCGTGAGACTCTTGAACGCTGGTATCGTTACCACCTAAGTGGAGGAGACGCTCCATGTTACTTTTTACGAAATTTTACATTGTACCCACGGTGTTGTACAAACTTTTCACTTTGCTGAACAGCTGTCTGGAGGGGGAATTGCACAGGGCTGTAAACTAGATGGACGAAATGCATTATTTAGCTAACATGGTCAAATTTTCGAAAAACATGCTCATACTTTATATCTCGACTAGCTCCAAAACTCACCATCGTGCAGCCTTAAGCCATACATGAAGCACGAACCCGTCCACCATTTGCGGTGCATCGATCACACAACCGTAGTTCCACTTTTACGTTACCGAACGATAGCGATCCAGTCGAGAGCGCTTCACTTGCTGCTCTGAACCCATACGCACAGTATTTAAAGAGATTATCGCTTAGTGTTGACGGGCCAAACCCGCGACAGCTTGGATGTTGGTCTGCAACCGGTAAGTGCTGGGCCATGCAAATAGTCTTGATCATATTGAAGACCCCTACTGCCCACGTCAACATATCATTCTCCTAGAACTATTTTGCCAGGCGTCCCATGACATTTGGCAGACGTGGCTTGCGTTGCGAGCTTGTTTGGACTGACACAGGATATGACTGCGATCCCCAACCGCGCCTCTGCCGGCCTTGCCTCGGTCGGTGCAAGACCTCCGAATGATTTATTCTGTTGGCGATCTCAATGGCGTCTGTCGAGACAGCAGGGGTGTTGGGGTGTAGTTTCCTGTGCAGTGGGGGAGGACAGGGGACTTCAGCCCCCTTCCCCCTCCCTCTTTAGCCTCAGGCCCCCCTAACTTTGGGAAGAAAATGCGCCAAATCTGGGGAGAAGCCTGTTGGCGTATTTTGGGGGCAGTCTGGGTAAATTTTCATTGTTCAGTCCCCATTTTGAAAAACTGCACCTCTACTAGACAGCTTCATTCAATTTAAAACGATTACGAAACCGTCTTGCCATACACCTGCCAAGGCCAAGACTGAACTGACCCGTGGCAAGTGCAAAATGCCTATGCTTATGTTAGTCGCCTGATAGCCAAGTTTGTGGCCGGCTGCACTTTAGACACTGGACCGCCGACTTTTTTCCCATGTCTGGTAGACTTTTCGCCCTATTCTATTCGCCCACAGGCTGTAACCGGGTCTTACGAAATATATCTGCCATGAATCGCGATGTCGCTGTTCTGATGGATCACCTGCAGAAAGAAGATGGGTATGCATCTGTGATGCAAGCTTTGGAGGTACGGAAAGTCTCGTGTAACAGTTGATATAGCAGCCGTTCACTGGCGAGCTGTGTCGGGATGGGAGCGGGGAAAAACGGATAGCTGAATTCATTTCATGCGCCTTGAGGTAGATGTAAAACTTGTGTACGAGGTTTCAGGAGGTTATTGCCTCTGGCCCGCTCCCTCTTCTTTGTTGCCCCGCCCAAATAGAAATTGTCGATAAGAAATCGTAGTCGACTGTTCCATCCGTACTTGCTTTACTACGGGAGCAAAGAAAACATAGAACCCGCCAACTCACAGCCGCCTTCCGCGCCCGGCTTCCACTGCCCCGGCCGGTATTCTCTGCAAACCCTGACGTCACCGGCGAACTGACCGGTGCCAGCAGTAGAACGGCATGCGGTCGAGACGCGTCAGCGTTCCCATGTTAATCTTCCATCGGCGCAAGCGTCGTGTCACAGTGATCGTCTGATCAGGCGCGGCACCGCACCAATCGCGTCGCTCTGACGGTCTTGGTCACTGGGCTCAAACCCCCTGTTCGCTTCGTTGCCGTCTCTTGCAAAGGATGTTTCGTGCTGGGTGCTCCAGCTTATTCAAAAGTTATGCCTTGAGGTTCGGGTCCACACCGACTTGAGCGATTTCGCCGCATTTGGGACGATTGAGCTCAGTCGCAGACGCTGGCGTGCGGTGCCGCCACGGCCCCCGGTCATCGGAGGACACTGGCGTGTGATGCCGCCGCGGCCCCCGGTCGTCGGAGGACACTGACGTGTGGTACCGTCGCGGCCCCCGGTCGTCGGAGGACACTGGCGTGTGGTACCGTCACGGCCCCCGGTCGTCGGAGGACACTGGCGTGTG